TCAATTTCAAAGTTAACATCTAGGACAAATTTTCATTTTAATAGAAAATATCCTCAAGACTGATAATACAAAGACTATAGCATAATGGCCCTGTACTAAGTTGAAATGAGCTATCTGATATCTAGGTTACAGGTTAATTAAGAAACAATGAAATTCTGACCAAAAAAAGCCCATTTTAAGTGGAAAAAAGTTATTAGATATGATACAATTATCTCTAGTCTTATTGGCACCATTAGAAACCCTTTTTGATATAAATGTAGAAATCTTTTGAAATAGAATATTATTGAATGAAGAAAATAAAACTTGATGCAACTTCTCAAATCTCAAGCAAGTCGCATTGATTGTAAATATAAATCATATTCATACACAACCGAAATTGGCTTACAAGAGTCTAACAATGATACCATACAAAAATGTAGTTTAATAGACATAAATGCTCACTGCAACATCAAGACGAAATCTACATTACTATCATGACAAATGCTATAAAGATTTAGTCAACAACAAACTATATTCAACCCAAATACTAATTGCTACAACCATTTACGGTTTCAATTTCTAATGCCAATTAATACAACTTATTATCATCTGAATTTCAAACACAAGCCCTGGCCCCATTAACTAGACTTCATTATCATCTTCCCAATAAAAGAAACAGGTAGTCAATCTCGTGATAACAAAACTTCCGTTATCTAGAAACTACCAACATTTCCAACATTCAATTTAAAAATGAACCCATCAAAACATTTGAGCTTTACTACCTGTATTTTGTCAGCGCATAAGAAAACATGCAGCACACCATTGGTTACGTATTTTCCTTCCTACACTAAGTGTACACCTATATTTGGTTCCACGTTTGGGACAGCTAGAATTGATTCTGAAGGTGTAAAACTGATTTCAACATGTTTGGTAGCTCTAGAATAGAATTGATTTTGCCTCGAAAAATGATTCTAACTTGAAGTTAAGATTTGTAACTTTTAAATCTAAACATGATTTTTACACTGGATAATATTGTTCAACTCACTTTTATTCAAATGTGTCCAATAATAAATCACTTAACATTCAACTCACACTTCTAAGTAAAATCAATTTAGCAAAATCAATTCATTCAAAATCATTTTTGTCACTGCAGAACCAAACATGCACTAAGATCGGTCTACATGGAATGACCACACAATATTGCATCATTTTCCATCATAACATGGAATGACCACACAATATTAAAAAAATCCTAGTCCTTTTGTTGAACCTCAAGCTTTTCTTCTTATCTCAAATTTCAGTATATAAATTACTTTGATAAAAAAAACCAAATCAATTTAAATCATGATTCTATCAACAACATAACTTCGGTTGCACATGTTTTAGATTACTTTGTGCAAGCAGATACTATCCAACCTCTACTTCCTAAATCTCAGTTCAAAAGTTAAAATCAAAATTTTAAAATTAAAAAAAAATAGAGAATTAAGAACATGAATAAACCCTAAGGAAATAATCAATACAAAAAGAAACGAAGAATTTAACCACAAACTATCCTGATAAAGCTAAAAACTATTCCTAATTACAAAATCAAAACCCTAAAAGTTGAAATTGAAAAATGAACAAAACAATAGCAAGCTCAAAATTGACATGATAACACAAACAAACACATAAAATATACCTCGAATCTTGCAATGGTGTTATTGAATTTGAAAATAGCAGAACGAATTTTGAAAATTGGGGAAAAATTGAAGAACGTGTTAAAATTGGATTTTGTTTGAAGCTTCAAATCCAAGTTCGTACGAAGCCATGGTGGACAAAAGGAGCCTATGTTGAGAATCAAAAAATATGTTTACCTTGGAAGGAGGTTGTAGAGGAGCGATGAAATTGTTGAAGTTGTTGAAATGAAATGGTTTTGAAAAATATATGATACACTTACAGAATGCACCAGTGTTTTTCCCTACGTCGTGGGGTTTTGCTGTAGTAATACTCCTTGAAGAAGATAAATAAAACTAAGAGAGATAAAAAAAACTAACAAGATTAAACTTTTATTTGATTTTCTGCATGAATTAAAAAAGAGGATAATACCCCTTGTTTTTATTTTTCATAATTTTATTTTTTTTATTAATTTTATGGGATTAAAGATATATAAGCTTATATTTTTTAATTTCATAAGAACAAAAAATAAATACATTAAGTAAAACTAATATTTTTTATAATTAATTTAGATTTATTATTAAAATTTAATTTAAAATTAAAAAATTTCACAATTCACATTAAATATAATTAATAAAATAGAACAAATAGAGATTAAAAATAGCATTCTAATTTTATAAATATTTTTCAAAAAATTTGCAACAACTATGAAATCATAAAAAATGTCTTAAATAAGAATAATATGTACTAAAATTATTTTTAAGAAAATAAATCTAAAAAATAAAAATAAAATTTTTTTTGACAAAATTTAAACAAAAACTATTATTATTCAAGAAAGCAAAAAAAAATTGTTGTGAAAATTATTTTAAAATAAGTTTGTTTTTGTATTATATATATAAATCTAAAAAATCAATATGTTAATTATATTTTAAAATTTTATTTAATAATAATAAAAATATAATTAATAAATAAACTTATATTTTTACAATTATATCATAAACTTATATTTTTGATTTTTCTAATTTTTACAACAATAAAAAATTATTAAATAAATAAAATTATATTTTACAATTATATCATAAACTTATATTTTTGATTTTTCTAATTTTTACTACAATAAAAAGTATTAAATCAATAAATTTTCTTTAAAAAATAACTAAAAAAACTCAATTAATATTATAAAACTTTTTAAAGAAAAACTTAGATTTAATATAAAGTTAAAAAATGTCTCAACAACATATTCTTGAAATCAATATGTGTTTTATATTTTATTTATTAAACGTAAAAATAAAATAAAAATAAAAAATAAACTAAACATTTCGCAGCAAACATCGCAGAAATATTTACAGCAAATTCCGCAGCAAACTTAGCAGCAATTCCTGCAACATTACCATAGAGTTTGGTGGTTTCAGTGGATAACAAATTCCTGCGACATTTGTCGCAGTAGAATCCGCAGGAAAGTTGTATTTCAAAATATTAAGGTCTCAGGTATTCCTGCGAATTCTGCTGCTACTTTACTTTTCGCAGGAAAAGATATTTCAAAATAAAAAAGCGCAGGTGAAATCGCAGCTATAGCTGGGGAAGTAATTCCGCAGGACAGTCCGCAGGTAATCTGTGTATTACTAGTGATGATATATATGTATATATATATTTTATAACTTATTCCATTGTCATAATTTTTAAATTAAATTAGATTCAATTTAAAAACTAGAATATGGAGTAAGTTAAAAAAAATTTCTTTTGAAATAAATTGATCCCGATTTATATATATAATAGTTAATTTAACTTCAATAAAAGTACATACTAATCTAATTTTAATATTATATTACAAACTCACACTAAAAATTTAAGTGTTAATTTAATTTAAAAAGAAAAGAAACCTTCCTGTCAAATTAGTGAAGGGAGATGTTAGAAAAATAAAAATTAATAAAGTGAGTTGTAAACCTTAACTGGTGTACACTACTAGAAATACACAGTTTACCTGCGGATTTTGACAAAACTTTCGCAGGAAACACGTTTCCTGCGATTTTTCCTTAGCTTATTCGTTTCCAGCTAAAACCTCCGTGGGTAATTAACATAGCAGAAAAAGTCGCAGGAAATAGTCGCAGGAAAAAGTCGCAGTAAAAAGTCGCAGTAAAATGTCGCAGTTATATGTCGCAGGAAAAATGCGCAAGTATAACAGCTAAATTCGCAGGTAATACCGCAGGTTACTTTAACTTTTGCAGGAAAAGTCGCAGCAAACTGGAATAATATAATTAATTTCACAGGTAATTTCTCTCTCATGTTTTTAATTTTTATTATTCATTGTGTCTAAGTCATATTTAAAATAATATATTTAATGTATTTAATAATATAAAAATAAAAAATCTAAAGAATCTGATTTAATTTTGTTAAATGATTTATCATTATCCAAAGAATCTGATTTAATTTTGTCACAATTATAAAAATCTAAGTATTTATTCGATCATGGCGTTAAAACCACCAAAATCTACCCTAATAAATAACTTAAGACTGCCGCATCAACCATGAGGAAAATGATCCAAAAATTCCACTCAAAATACACATGTAGTAACGATTCATACAACAAATATACATAATCTTCTATCTAGGAATCTAAGTTACAGTTGAAAGTAACTACTGTCCCTTAATTATGAACTAGCAAATTAGAAAAATCAATTCCCTTGGACTTGTAATATCCTTTTTCTGTATTTGTCAATCTACCTTGGAACATTCTCCACTCCATCCCACACCTCTCTTTAACCTGTCACCAATAATACCATGCAAAATATACACATAAACAAAATCAAAATCCATTTAATTCATATACATTATACATTGTCAATGTAAAGAAAAGTATAATCCTGACAATTAATTGTAATCGTCAAATAAAAAAAAATTTTGAATTACAAAAGGTTCTTATATCATACCGCCCGCCATGCCGGCTTCCCCGTTTGTGCTTCTCCCCTATCAAACAAAACACGAAAAACATTAAAATTTATAAAGCTTCATTTGAGTAATGATAATATAATTAAAATCAAACATATTATGTATCATGATTAGTCATAAACTAGATTAAAATCTTACCTGATCCCCTAATGATGGAATACCTTGGTGAACAATCCATTGAGCATCAACCACTCCAATTTTCTCATGGACGGGCTATAACAAAATTTAATTCAAATTTCTATAGCATATCAAAATTATAGTATAATAAGAGAAATAAGCTTAGTTTAGTACCTCAACACATTTTCTAAAAGCAAAATCAAGTCCCCATCCATTTGAGGCCGGCCTGTTGTTCTATCATTCGATTACAAAGTTTGAATTCTTCTACAATTTTTTCAGCCACAGAACTGCTGCTCGTGACGAAACTAGAATATGTACAAACAAGCTATTGAAGTTAAAACCGTGGTTAACAGTATTGACACAAAGTTCACTGCATTGTTGTCGAGAATGCTGAGACCTGAAATCTTTTTAACAGTTGGTCCTGGCTTCCCAACAACCTACAGCATAGAGTGAGGTCACTGGATCTTTCATTGACATTGTTCAAATGTAATGTAAATATGAGAGAAATATGTATCAGAATTTACCTTCTGGCGAATAGAGCAGAATCCACTAAATTGTAACGTTGCACCCAATAAAGAGTCAACGATACTCCCACCTAGTCCTGCCGTGGTAGCCATGGGTATGACCAGTAGTTGCTTGAGAACTCTATCAGACAGTGTTTCGTTAACATTGGTCTCTAGCCAAACAACAATGTGATTTACGCGGATGCTCATATAGGGCTTAGACTAAAAGACTATTTACCTTGAAGGTTGTGATGAGACGAGGTCGGTCATCACTGAGAACTCCAATCTCTGAAGACCAGGTATCTCCATTGCAGTAGCAATAATGGCCAATAACGCCACCAATAAGAGCGGTAATCAGAGGCGACTCTTTAGAGTTCAAGCAATAATCCTTCCTGTCAGTTAAAACACATAAAGCTACAACCAGAACAGAGGCAATACCACTATTTGACAGAACTTGCATCCTGAAAAAATAACAGTAGGCGAAATTCAGACCAAACTCAGGTCAATCAACAACATGCATGTCAAATTAATATCATATGAGTAATTGTAATAGTATATAAATTAAAGTTCAAAGTTGAACCTTTGCATACTCTATCTGATATACTCTATAGTCAGTGAGATATGATAAAAAGCAAAACCATAGATTGAAAAATGAATGTTGCAATCAAAATGGACACTCTCCATATGAATTTTGGACCACTTTATCACTTACAATTATATCATAAACAGCAGAACTTTTTTGGTAGATGAAATTTGATTTCTCAATTATTAACATTCAAAACAAAAAGAAACACAAGATTGTAAAAACAGAACAAAAGTTCATATAGTAGTTAACATAGGACCATGTCCATAACAACATAAAGTTAAGATATGTACCACACAGGATCATGATCATATCATACTACATTATTGCATTTCATTACTGGTAAAAAAAACTAATTCAGAAGAAAGCTCTGCTACCATAAAACAGAAACGCTAAATCAAATATTAAAAACACCTTGAGTATTGATGGCTGAATCTTATTGGGTCCTCTAGATGAGAATGAAGCCATTACTGGAGCTGGCTTTCTTCCATAGAATGTTTTTGCTCCTGAAAACCTTATTGTAGTACCTGTTTTTAGTTTAGAGTCCCTGCAATTATAAGTATAATGTGTATGGTTAGAGTTTTTCATTCGTAGCATGTCAACAAAGCCTTTTCTTTGATTCTTTCTACCGATGGTAAGCTTGCCAATGCGGCAAATTGTGACGCGTAAGTACCAATCTCAAATGCTTTACTTTGAAATAAACTTACTAACTAATTAAACGATGATTTCTCACACTTTTCATATGTATTGTTGCAGACGACTTTGTAGGCCGGGAACACTAGATCCTTTTAAAAGTGAAGGGAAAATAGTGGCATGCAATCGAGAAGGAAATATAAAATCAGTTGCTGAAGGTCAGGAAGCTTCATCTGCAGGCGCAAAGGGAATGCTTTTGAGCAATCGACCACAATAAGGGAAAACGACTCTTGTTGAGCCTCATGTTTTGTCTTGTGTATCTACGCCACATAACGAAAGCGATTACCACTCTTCTGCTAACATTTCTTCCTATGACATCATTTCAATGTAGTTGATTATATATCCGTCTTACTCTTCCGCATACCCTTTTAGAACTGTTACATTTGTTGACATGCTACGAATGAAAAACTCTAACCACATATATATATTACAAAGTATAATAAAATCTAATGTGGACACAAATGTGATAAGTCACCAAATCATTAATATAGACACAAAGTATAATAAAATCTAAAATAAACAATCAAATGCAATAGGAACATATTTAAGTCATAAAGTAGTACCTACCTTGAAATTTCAAAATCAATAGCTTTGCTCGGTACCGAAAATGAGTTCAAATTTGTGCTTCAACCTGCAAGAATAACAATTGATTGTATTAATCTCTATCAAACACATCTTGATTCACATATGAAAAAGAACAAACAAGACATCTATATGAAGAAAACATTATAAAATCAAAGTAATGCGTCCACAGGTAAATTAAGGCAAACTTGTTTCAATGACAGTATACTAATTACATTATATTTGTGAAAGCAATCAAATTAAATAGTACATTAAAGAAACAGTATATAAGATAAATATGCATTACTTAATTAAAGAAACGAGATTTGTGAAGGGGAATCAAAATAACAATACACTGATTCATGTATATTTTTGAACAGCTATATCAAAATATGTTGACAAAATTAACAGACCAACTTTAATATGAAAGAAACAAAATTTGAAGAGGTTGGTACAAGTCACATGCCATTTTCCTGAAATTGTTGATAGTGACACAGAGGATCAATCTACTTTGCTATTTTTTGATGTAAAAACAATTTTACTTTTTTGGTTGCTTTTTCAATTTTGCAATTTCTGAACACACAAGGAAGTAAGAGAATATTAGTACTACACCCACCATACACCATGTTTGTTTTTCAAGTCTTTCCACTCACTTTTTTAATTTCAATTTTGGAACTTAAAACACCTTAAACAATATAATGAAAAACAATACTTTCAATACAAAAAATCATTAAATAAAAATAGAGTCAAACTCAACTATAAAAAGGGAGAAGAGAACTCTCACAATGGGATTCAAGACATGTAGAAAGGTTTGAATTTCATTGCCATTTTTACCACCACCTTTGTCTATAGCAAATAGCCCCATTACCTTTATATTAGCAAAAGCACCAACTCCATAAAATCATAAGAAAAAACACATTCCAAAGTCACACAAACATTTTGTCGAACACGTTAGATGCATCATCCAAAACACATTCCACAATCACAGACATTTTATCGAACACCTTAAAGCCAAGTATGGTTGAACATGAGGTAACTTGTTCATCTACTCTCTCTTGACTGAATTCTAGAAGCTACTGATGTTTTCGTGATTGCCCCACTAGAACCTCCCAATGTGAACTTAGCACACATCACAATCTAAAATTTAACAACATTAAAAGCCCCTAGCATAAAACCAGTCTGAAACGGAACTGAATTGCAGACATCAAGATTTGATACGGCACAAATATCCCACTATTCAGAGCTACTCTCTCAGTCGAGTGGAGAAAACTCTTGCACCTTCGTTCCCAAGTTCATTTCTTTTCACCCAATTTGTAATTTTTTCGGTTTTAAAATAAACATCATTCTAACTTATAAACAAACATCGTTTTCTATGTAAACAAAAAATAAACTATATAAATTATATGTTTTAATTTCACCAAAACAAAAAATAAATATATTTAGTAAAACTAATATTTTTTTAATAAACTTAAATTCATTATTAAATTTAATTTAAAATTAAAAAATTTTAAAATTATATTAAAAATAATTAATAAAATAGAAGATTAAAAATATCATTCTAACTTTATATATTTATGGGGTGGCATTTATATTTGGATGTAAAGCCACCCTAGTGGTAAGAACTTTGCACATAAACACGCCTGTAACATGCATGACTTTGGTTCAATCCATGTGGAGGTCTGAATCCTTTTTCTTTTTTCTCATTTTTTCCACATGAACTTTAAAAAGTCATCTCTCTCTCATTTTGAATTCATTCTTTTTGCAACATGTTTGTTTTAATGTCTATTTTTATTATTTTCATGTGGTGTAAAAATATTTCAAATTTTTCTTAAATATAATTAATAAAATAGAATAAATAGAGATTAAAAATATCATTCTAATTTAATAAATATTTTTTCAAAAAAATTTGCAAAGCTATGAAATCTTAAAAAATGTTTTAAATAAGAATAATAGGCACTCAAATTATCTTAAAGAAAATAAATCTAAAAAATAATTCTTGACAAAATTTAAACAAAAACTATTATTATTGAATAAAGTATAAATTTTTCTTTTTTGTGAAAATTATTTTAAAATAGGTTTGTTTTTATATTATATATATAAATCTAAAAAATCAATATGTCAATTATATATTACAATTTTATTTAATAATAGTAAAAATTTAATTAAATAAATACACTTATATTTTTACAATTATATCATAAACTATTATTTTTAAAATTATATCATAAACTTATACTTTTGATTTTTTTAATTTTTACAACAACAAAAAATTATTATATAAATAAAAAAAATTATATTTTTTATTTTTTTAAATTTTACAATAATAAAAAATTATTTAATAAATAAATTTATATTTTACAATTATATCATAAACTTATATTTTTTATTTTTTTTATTTTTACATTAATAAAAAATTCAACTAAATAAATAAACTTATATTTTTTATATTTCTAATTTTTACAACAATAAAAAAATATTAAATAAATATATTTTTTCTTTAAAAAATAACTAAAAAAACAAAATTAATATTATAAAACTTTTCTAAAAAATACAAAAATTTAATATAAAATTAAAAAATGTCTGAACAACATTTTCTTGGAATCAATATTTATTTATTAATCGTAAAAATATAATTAAAAATAAAAATAAATTAAATAATTCGTAGAAAAAGTCGATGAAAAAGTTACAGCAAATTCCGCAGAAAATCTCGCAGCAATTTCTGCGACATTTCCAGAGACTTTTGTGGTTTCAATAGATGACTAATTCCTGCGAAGCATATCGCAGAAAATTCCGCAGGAAATTTATATTTTAATTTTAAATTTAAAGTCGCAGCTAAAGTCTCAGAAATTCCTGCGACATTTACTGCTATCACGTTTTTCGCAGGAAATGATGTTTCACAATATAGAAGCGCAGGGAAAATCGCTGGTATTTCTGCGGAAATGTTTCCGCAGGAAAATCCGCAGGTAAACTGTGTATGTAGTGGTAAACCATAAATAATATATATGGAGTAATTTTCATTGGTGTGTATATATATATTCATTATCTCCCAACAATATTATTATTCATGTAAAAATTAAAATATAGTTCATTAATTAATTTCTAATTATAATCATTATCTCCTAACAATATTAATTATAAAAGTTTCAATTTTAAGCGAATTTATTTTGTCATTTAATAAAAATAGTAATACACTTTATTGTCTCTCTCTCTCTCTCTCTCTCTCTCTCTCTATCTATATATATATATATATATATATATATATATATATATATATATATATATATATATATATATATATATATATATATATATATATATATATATATATATATATATATATATATATATATATATATATATATATATATATATA